TTAGAGAGGGACATCATGCTTGGAAGGGTGGAGGGACGGCGCAGGAGAGGAAGGCCCTCTATGAGGTGGATTGATTCAGTGACTGGGATTATTGGGATGGGAGTGTCGGAGTCAGTGCGATTGGCACAGGACATAGTGGAGTTTAGGGCTGTTGTACATAGGGTTGCTATGAGTCGCAGACGACTCGATGGCACATAACAACAACGACATTGTTGCAGAAAAGTCTAGGTTTTAAAGAATAATATTTTAATGATTCAAAAGTATGGTACCTTTAACAGTTCTCAACATTTGAAATGACTGAAAATTTTAATAGATACAAGGATCTTATTTTAAATATAATTTCTCTTAAATATACCATCTTGACTATATAAACTTTAAACAATGTATGTTTGTTTTCTATGTGATGTTTTGAATCATTAACATTGAAGAGTTATAAGCATGAATCCATAAACAAAGTATTCTCATTCATGAATTTATAATTTATATCTTAAACTATTGAAAAAAATTACCCTAAATTATTTGTGGTTTTATCTTAAAGGCACTTTTACTTTCAACTTCCATTGTAGTAGTTAATGTTGTATATACTATATATCACAAGAAGAAAATAGGTTGTTAAAGTTTAAAAAGAAAATAGGATCCCAGAGGTGTGTGGTTCGAATCCACCAGATGCTCTGCTGGAGAAGGAGGAGCAATCTCCTCCTGTACCAGTCAGATCCAATTTGAGGATACACACACACAAAATAATAAAACAAAATAATTAAAAAAAATAGGTTGTTAAAATTTAAAAAAGCTACTTTCATAACTTTATGCTGTACCTATTAATAGTTACACTCTACTAGCACTTTATAATTACCAATTGTAAATAATCTTCTGTGTATCTTTCAGATAATTTTTTATTCAGCATTTTCTCTAAGTATTCTCAAGCTAAGATAAGTAATGATAGTATGATTGGGACAAGAGTTCTTGGAGAAATCATCCTGTTGATAGTTACATTCTAAATAAGATAGCTTTTCACTTTTGTTGCTTTTGTGAAATAAATTTAAAAGCTTGAGATGATACATTTTAAATTTCAGTCTCTAAGTACTCGATTTTCTTTTTTATAATCCAGGGTCTGCAGTGAATTATGAAGACTATCAGAGTGTAAGTCGTTTCTTAGACCTCATACCTCAAGATACTCTGGCAGTAGCTTCCTTCCGCTCCAAAGCGTACACAAGGGCGGTAATGCACTTTGAATCATTCATTACAGAAAAGAAGCAAAATATCCAGGAACATCTGGGATTTTTACAGGTTTGAAATTAATATTAGTAAATTTAATAATGATGATGTTACCAAATCATTTATTATGTTCATTTTATTAAACATCTGTATGTTGCAGTCTGTAGTGTGGTAAGCACTAGATATTTGTAATTACTTTAAAAAGTATAGATTAAGCTGTCCAGTCAGTTCATTATAGTGTTGTAAGTGTGCCTTAGAGAAAGACATTTCTCCCGTCCACTTGGTGAAGTAGAGGATAGGAAGTAGGTAAGCATAAGGTCAGAAAGAACCTTCTGGGAGAAGATGTTTAAATTGGTTCTTAATAAATCCATTGAGTCAGAACTGACACATAGCTAACTGCCATCAGTGAGTTTTCAGAGGCAGTTAATTACACTGGAGAGCAGCAGGTGGATTAGAACCATGTACCTTTGAATTGGCAGTGCACTTCCTTACCATTAAGCCACCATAGCTCCCTAAATGAATACTAGTTACCTGTGTAACAGAAAGTAGAAAGATATTCCAAGCAGAAACATCTCTCAAATTGGGAAAGAACAATATAGGCATTGAAGAAGAAACTAGCATTTTTGAGATAACAGAGAAAAGACGAAGATTTGAGTAGAAGAATGATCACACATGTGGGGAAGTTGTCCTAGAAGCTTAGATTAAAGAATTTGAACCAAAGAAATACAGACTGGATGGCATTTTAGCTAAAGGCCATTTTTGGAAGAAAAGGTTATGATTTAAAGTACAGAGGTCATCAGTACTCTCCTTGTCGAAAATCGGGACCAGAATTTGAGGATGTAAAGGTGGTACGGTGGTTTGCCACTTATGTTAGGAACAAGGCAGTGTTCATTAGGATGCTAGTGAGATAATGGTTTCATGTGATATTGTGACTCTCTAGAATGTGTCGTGTATCATTCTGCTAATTGCAGTGTCAGCAGTTCAAATCCACCAGCTAGTGCATGGGAGAAAGATGGGCATTTTCCTCCCATGAAAATTTACAGCCTCAGAAACCTGCGGAAGCTTATTATGAGTCAGAAGCAACTTGAGGACATTGAGTTTGGTTTCGGTTTTAAGAAGAAAAGAAAATAAAGTCACATGGATTTAATGGGATCAAATAAGAGACTAAAGTTAGTGGGCTTTTTTGGATCAAAAAGCATAATGTTAGGAGAACAGGAAGAGCAGGCTAACTTTTATGACAGCATTACTCCTGCTCTATCCCGAGCCAACCTCACCGCCTCCAACACACCTACCCACATTATTCCAGTCGCTGAGTCAATCCATTTCATTGAGGGTCTTCCCCTCTTAAGCTGTCCCTCCAACCTCCGAAGCACAAAGTCCCTCTCCAAGGACTGGTCCCTCTTTGCAATATGTCCAAAAATATGTCAGACAGAGCTTCAGAATCCTTGCCTCCAAGAAGCAGCCTGGTTTCACCCTCTCTAGGGTGAACCTGTAAAAGGAAAGGCAATGCACAATGCAAGGTTTGATTAGACCTTGTACTTAATTATTATAATTACTGTAAAACAAAGCATCTATGAATGATTATACATAAGCCAATATGATTTGTAAACCTTTGCTCAAATTAAAAAAAAATTTTTTTAATTTTCAAAATGTGCAGAGAAGAAAGGGGAGGCAGTGTGTTTCTGTAAAGGCCAGGAGCCTTTGAAATCCAGTAAACAATGAATCGCTGAGAGTTGACAAGAGTCAGAATGGACTTAATAGCAGTAGTTCTGTTTGTTTTTTTTTTTTAGTTTTGTACAAATTGTTCCCAGGTTTTACCTTCAGCCTGGCTACCTCCATGGAGCCCAGACTATGGTTTCTTGAAGGCATCTAAATACCAGTATATTAAAATACTTATTAAAGTTTTTGTTTCATTTTAAAATGTAGTAAGACACTTGTTAAGTGAAACACAGTTTATTGTCACTTGTTTTCAAAGGACTTTGAAGTTCTTTTCTGTTTTAATTATCATTAATTTACTAATATAGAAGAAAAGGAATCCCAGAACACTTAATTGTGCTTGTTTAAAACCCATACATAGACCACAAAGCTGTTGTGTGAACAGAACTAGGGAATACTGCGTAGTTCAAGCTCAGGAAGAGTGTATGTCAGCGTTGTAGCTTTTCTTCACATTTACTCAGTGTATAGACTTGAGCACATCATTTGAAAAGCTGGTCTATCTGAAAAAGAACACGGTATCTGAATTAGAGAAAGATTCATCAACAATCTGCATTATGCAGATGATACAACCTTGCTTGCTGAAAGTGAAGAGGACTTAACACTTGCTGTGGAGGATCAAAGACTATAGCCATAAAACAGGTTATTTTTCAACATCATGAAAATACTGTCCTCATCACTCAACCAATAAGCAATATCATGATAGGTGAAGAAAAGATTGACAGTGTCAACCATTTCATTTTAATTGGATCCAAAGTCAACACTCATAGTTAATGGCAATCAGGAAATCAAAGTGAACACTCATAGTTAACAGCAGTCAAGAAATCAAAGACAGGTTGCAGTGGGAAAATATGTCAAGAACCTCACCTAACTTTTAAAGAGCAGTCATGTCCATTTGAAGACTAAAGTATATCTGATCCAAGCCATAATGTTATCAGTTCTGTGCAACTGAAAGTTGGACAGTAAATAATGATGACAGAAGCAGAAGCACTGCCTTTGAATAACGGTGTTGGAGAAGAGTATCAAATGTCCCATGAACTGCCCAAAGAACAGACAAATCTGTTGAGGAGGAAGTGAAACCGCCGGGCTGCTCCTTGCAGGACAGGATGGTGACAGTTTGTCTCTTTTCCTTAGGGCATGTTATCTGGAGGTGCCAGTCCTTGGTAGAAGGCATCATACTGGGAGAAGTGGGGGATCAGAGAGAAAGGAAGACCCTTAGTAGGATGGATTGACTTAGTAATTGTCATGATGGGCAAGAACATTTGAGAGAGGGTGAGCCTGGTGTAGGTTAGGGCATGTTTCAGAGCTGTTTTTCATGAGGTCACTATGAATGGTCATCAGCTTGATGGCACTTAATACAGCAACACAGACAACATTTAAATTGATGACATCTGACTATGTGGAGAACAACAAATTGAGACCAACCTTGAGAAGCAAGGGAATCCCAGAACACCTGACTGTGCTTATGCGAAACCTATACTTGGATCAGGAAGCAGTTGTTAGAGCAAGGAAACTGCATGGTTCAAAATCGGGAAAGGAGTGTGTCAGGCATGTGTTCTGTCGCCGTAGGTATATGGAATAGATCATCTGGGAGGCTGGGCTTTCTCAAGAAGAATGTCGCATCACAGTTGGAGGAAGACTCATCAACAACCTGTGCTATGCAGATGATACAACTTTGCTTCTCAAAAATGAGGGCCTGTGGCATTTGATATAGAAGGTCAAGGACTGCAGTCTTTAATATGGATTTAAGCTGAACATCAAGAAGATAGAATCTTACCACTGGGCCAGTTGGCAGCACCATGATAAATGGAGAAGAGATTGAAATTGTTAATAATTTCAGACTGCTTGGCTCCACAGTCAACACTCTTGGCACCAGAATTCAGGAAATCAAAAGACAAGTTGCAGTAGGGAAATTCTGTCAGGAACCTCTCCAGAGTACTAAAAAGCAACAGTGTCAATCTAGAGACTAAGGTGCACCTGATCCAGGCCATGATCTTTGCAGTTACTTGATACATATCAGAGAGCTGGACAGTGACTAAGGATGATAGAAGAGTCAATGCCTGAGTTGTGGTGCTGGAGGGGAGTATTGAACATTCCATGGATGGTCAAAAAAACAAACAGGTCTGACTTGGAGATGGGGAAACCAAGTTTCTTCTTGGAGGCTAGGATTTTGAAGCTCTATCTCACATATTTTGGACATATGTCCAGGATGGACCGGTCCTTGGAGAAGGACATCATGCTTGGAAGGGTGGAGGGACAGCACAATAGAGGAGATGCTGGAGGAGATGGATTGACACAATTACTCGAGTAATGCAGTTAGGTATGTCGGAGACAGTGAAATTGGCTCAGGATAGGATGAGGTTGATAGCTATTGTGCATAGGATTACTGTGAGTTGCAGGTGACTCAGTGGCACGTAACAGCAACAACGAAATAGTTTTCTATTTAAGAACAATGAGATTGTTTAGGTTAATAGAATTCTAGGAAACTATTCTCACTCTGAGGAAGGAAATTCTCATGTGCTCATTTAACGTGCACTCATAATTTATATTTTCATTCCCACTTATGTGTCTGCTTTCATTTGACTGAACAAAGAAATTGTATGCTGCGATGCATGAACCAGATGGAGTTGCTGGAGTAAGTGCAATCCGAAAGGCAGAACCATCTCTGAAGGAACAGATCCTTGAACATGAAAGCATTGGCTTACTGCGGGATGCCACTGCCTGTTACGACAGAGCTATTCAGCTTGAGCCAGACCAGGTGGGATAATAATGGAACACACATGTGCAGACAGAGCCCTGGCCTAGGAAGACTGAAAACCCGAGTTTCTTCCTGTCCCTTACAGTGTCACAGTATGATGGAGAAGAATAATTTGCCCTCTCTGAGTTTTCTTTTCCTGATTTCAGTTAGAGACTAGTGCTATTTTAGAGATGTTCTCAAAGTTCCATTCTACTACTAAATTCCCCTTACTGTAGAAATCTCTAAGATCAATGAAACTTATTACTGATTATATGTTTATCTGAATATTTAATAACTATAGAAGCGTGGCTTTCCATCTGCTATTCAAAGTTTAAAACTTTTATTGGTTTTTAATAGGATTAGTGATCTTCTACAGAGTCTGAAAAATGTTATGAGATATTGCATGTGTCTCTCTACCCTGCTTCTAAATCCCTGAAATACTCCTTTTGAATCACTGAGCTACAGTTATTGAAAAAGGGGTGTGTGTTATATATAAGTATCTTCAAATAGAAAAAAGATATAGAGGCATTGGTTTTATACTCATGTCTTAGATTCTCTATCTTGAGGTTTACTGTTTTCTTACACTTGGCATATTTATTTTCTCAGAAGCTCAAAGCACAAGAGCTTTGTAATTTAATCCTTGTTTTCAGTATTAAAGACTATTGACTAATTTTGTTTAACTTTTCAATTACTAAAGCTCGAAATCCACATTAATTATTTTGTGACCTTTGAGCTTTAAGGTATCTATAAGAACTAATATGATAAAGAATGTTTTCTTTTCAGAAAAGTGGTCTGTTGCTTGCCATTTTTATGTCTGAGAAATGAAACTAGCCCAAATCTAGAAAAAAGGATACATTTAATTAGAGATTATTTCATTTATATCTATTTCTTAAAAAATTACAAGTGTGTTAGGGTAATGGTAGAGGGCTCTGCCATATATAACCAAGCAAGTCAGTTGCTAAACTAAGAAATAGACTTGTTAATATATTTTGTATTTCTGTGTCATTTAAAATACTGTTGCTTTCCAAGGTATACTTGAAATGATAGTTACTGTTTTAAATTTCTAGATTATTCATTATCATGGTGTAGTGAAGTCCATGTTAGGACTGGGTCAGCTGTCTTCTGTGATCACTCAGGTGAACGGCGTTCATGCTAACAGGTAATAAATCATAAAGGAATAAATTTTTCTTGATTGTTACATTTGAATGGAAAATTTTCCATTTAATTGACTATGAATTTACTAATATGAATTGACTTAATATTTACTAAATAATGCATTGTTTTGGTGTTTTCTTAAGATTAGCGTTAAGCTCTAAAATTAATTTTTTTCTTACTTTCTCATATATTGATTTAGCATTTGAAATCTTGGGGTTTTTTTCTGTCTAAACCCAAACATTCTTGGATTAGAGTCCTTTTAAGACAGGAAGCTTCTAGAGTATACCTGCTATTGGTAAGGCTTATACAGGCCCTTCCTAGGCTTCCCAAGGGCATCTAAACTTGGCTTACAGTAGTACCAGATGTTTTCTGTTCCAGCAAGTAGGAAGCTTATGATGTTTTAAATATTGTTCTAAGTGGAATTTATTTTCCCCCATAAGATTAATGAAAATGAGAAAAGCTTTCCTTTTAGAAAATAGATTTCTTTTAAGAACCAAATAATAATAATAATGAAAATGTTGTTGTTGTTATGTGCCGTCGAGTCGCCTGCGACTCATAGCGACCCTATGTACAACAGCCCTAAACTCCGCTCTGTCCTGTGCCAATC